CCTCACATCCAAGACCAAGAGCTTGAATTACATGTTATTGTCTGTTCAAAAAAAAAAAGAATTACATGTTATTGTCTTAGCATACAAGCATTAAACTACATTAATGACTCATTAATAGACTACATTAACTACATAAATATATATACAGCGTAAACGTTAGCAAAAATAGTTAGGAAAATATTAAAAATTGCATCATTATAAAAATCTAACATGAAGAGCACGAACTGAAGTATATACAAAATCTAAAGTTGAATCATGTTTCATATGTTGATTAACCACCACCATCTTAGTTGTTATAAGGCCAAGGACCTTCAAAAAATTATAAACTTGAATAGCCATCCAAAACTAAACATTCTTTAGGATCCGATTTATTGAAAAGATGTTTAATTTTTTGAAAAGATGCTAAAAAAACTTAATTTGTATCTTTTTTTTTATCAACATTCTCATTATCATTTGAACTTAAATCGTTTACATTGGATAAGATGCACAGAGCAAACTTAGCGAGTGAATCGGCTACCACATTATTCCCTCTAGGAACATATCGAACATCAAAAAAAGTAAAGCTTGGGATAAGACTAAAAATATCTTGTAGCACTCCGTAAATTTCCTTGATTGTGTTATGGCCTTTTATTGCTCTAACAAGCACTTGAGAGTCCGAAAACATGCATAACCTTGTTGTCAGAGATTCGTCTCCCTAAAACTTACAAAACTCCCAAAAGCCAAAAGTCTGAATAGAAAATAAAGCGTAACCTAAAAACTGACTAAAAACTCGAATATATGTCTAAAACACGTTTTGGTCGAAACTTTGGCAAAACCAAGCAAAATTAGGAAATCTGAATTTTTCCTTTTTGGTGTGGTTAAGGGTAAGGATCGACCGATCCACATGCGGATCGATCGATCCGGATATCATAAATGAAGCCTCTCTTCTTTGGTCGATCCTGGACCGATCCGACGTGATAGGTTAATTCAGATCGGTCGATCCTGAGGTCGTTCCTGAAGTCAATCTTGAGGTCGATTTCAGCATTTTGTTCATTTTCTTCTTTTCTTTGTTCCATCTTGCCTTATACTTGTTCCAAAAGCATTTTAACCTGCAAAGACTCTAGAAATAAAGAAAAGACTCGATAAAACTCTTAAAATGCATCTAAGAATGCGTTAAAAACGCAAAATAGAGATTGCTATTTTTTGCTCTATATATAGAGGAAAAAGTAGATAAATGCTATATTTGATTCTAAAATAGAGAAAAAATAGCATTTTCTCTAAAATAGAAATACATCGAAGTGAAAATAGAGGAATGCTATTTTTACTCTATTTTAGAGTCAAATATAGAAAAATACATTGGAAATGATCTTAACCTAACCCAAATATATATCCGGTTCACGGTTCAATCCGGTCTGACTCCGCTCTAGTTCAGTTTTTAAAAGCATTGGTATACAGTATACTACTTACTTCCATTTCATAAAAACTATGGCTTTAATATTTCAATTTATTTAATAAAGAACTAGGTGACTTGTCCGCGTACACGCGGATGACTTATTTATAATTTTGTTTTCAATTTTACACTTTGAAAATGTAAGAATATGTATTTGTTTTATTATTTATTATAGACATTGTTGTTGATATTTTTGTTGTTAGTTTTTTTTTTGTCAAGAATATTATTTTTGTTAATAATATGAATTTTCGAAAGTTTAGTTATATCATATTATTATTTTATATACATAAACGTGTCAAATCAAATGTATAATAATTTAATCATTGGAGTGCACTATCTATTATAAAAAAAAAGTTGAGATTCCTCTCATAAAAGATTGAATCCCCTATTTGATCATCTTTTTTTTTAATATATATTTTTCACATTAGATAAAAATTAAATTCGACATCGAAAATTTCAGATGGCATTTTTATTTTTATCATTATTGAATCAATGTAAATTTTATTAATTAATGGTGATATATTTGATGGCCTTAAAAGGCATATTAAATTTTTTTTTATTAAATGTTGAATCCGATAACCTCTTTTGTGTTATTGAATTTTGAACATTTTTGAATATCAAATCACTTAAAATCCTTAACCATTCTTTTTCTTATTGAATATTTTGAATTTTGAATATGAAGATCCGCAAA